CAAAAATAAGAAATTATCTAAACTATCCTTGCAATGTTGCCATATGGCAAAGTAGTCATCCATATATCTAACTAACAGTTTGAGTGTTAATCTTACCTCTTCCATTAAGTGTTCCTCCATTCTTGACATGTAATTATTAGCTAAAATGAAAGCCAAGCAAGAGGCCTTGCACCTGTTCAAAAACTTAATCATTAAAGCTAAAGTATGTGCTGCTCATGCATAGATTAAGAAGCCTTAAGATTGAGCTTTTTCTCAGATTTGCCTCCCCGATAATTCCTGGGTGCTCATCTAGGCTGAGTGTAAGTGATTCAATAGCTTTATGAACTGGGATGTTAGTATACATTGATGCCACATCAAAACTAAACAAAAAATCCTCCTCTTAAATACTTTGTTGATCTATTAATCTAGCAAATTCATATGAATTCTTCACTAAATATTTCCAAAACTCATCCACTTTCCTTAGTTGTCTACATAAGAAACGTGAGATCCTATGCATCATAGTACCCTTGTTATTAACAATCAATCTTAAAGGAACTCCTTTCTTGTGTACTTTTGGAAGGCCTAAGCTGAAGGTGCCCTAGCATCCCTCTGAAAAAGTGAATTCATTTTCCACTTCTTAATTTCTCCTCTGCTTACACAAACGTTAAGCGATTCCCTAAGTCTGGCCTTAAGACTTACTGTGGGATCCTTCAGTAAAAGTCTGTAAGTTTCTGAGTCATTTAAATGAAGCATCATTTTTTCTATATACCTTAATCTATCCATGATGATCACTGCATCACCTTTATCTGCCTTTAAAACAAACATCATTTTTGTGCAAATATCTGGAAACTTTATTCAAGTCATACGATTTCTTTGGAACAATTACTTCATCAAAATGAGGAATCACTTCTCTTTCTATACTATTCTTAGCTCTTCTGACAGCTTGTCCGTTAAGTTAATCAACTCAACCATTTATCCATAGAATGATTTTGCTCATTTGGAAATGCAAAGTTTAAACACCTTTCCGAGACGAGCGTAACGGTAGCACTTATATATATGCTGGATAAATCAATGACTTTATTTTTGCTAGATAAAATTGTACTAAGTTTAACTACATCCTTATTGTTTCGACGATTCCTTTGGCTGATATTGATGCCTAAATTCCTTAATTTCTTATCATGTCGGGATC